ATATGACATCTGTTCACCTCAACGATAAATTCATTTCTTAGAATTTATAAACCCCTACTCTTTAATAACTCGGATTTGTCCCAGCAACATTTCTGCTCATGTGACTGGGATAAACAGAGACTCACAGCAGCTCTGTTTTGAGGCCTTTTTCCTTCTGCTTAATGGACGGCTCTCTGCTGTGCTCTGTGCAAGAGGAAATGCTGTGACACTGTTGTCTGGATGTTCTTCTATGTGTCTGAGGAAATATAGGTAGCACTCCAAATACATGATTACAATTTCAAACATGTGAATGTGTAATGAATGTACAGTGGTCCCTCGCTGTAACGCGGTTCACCTTTCGTGGCCTCGCTGTTTCGCAGATTTATTTTGTGTGCACACATTTTTTTTTAAAAAATAAAAACAGCGCATTGTGTTCGGCGTCCTGATTGGCTGTAGACCATTGTCAATCAATCTCCTCCGTGTCTCTGGTCAGTACAGAATGCGTTCAGCTGGTCAAATTTACATAAATCTTCGATGGCTAGCAGTGTGACTCTGAAGTGCTGTACCAGGGCTGTTCGATATAACGATATATATCCGATGACGATATGAAAACGTCTATCGTTTCATTTTACACTATCGTTTATTTCATGGTGTCGCAAGATAAACTGTTTACGGCAATATGTTTTTCATCGTTTCGATGGTCACTATAGAATTCATTTCTCAAAGTACTCTGTTCTTTCTCTTATATTTAATATAACCACACTGCGGACGGACCAGCGACTGCTTTTATGCGTTGTTGTTAGCAACAACGACGGTTTGCTTGCTTATTATGCACATAGACCTTTCACAATAAAGCTGAAGATTCTTTTGAGATTTTTCAAAATAACCTGAATCACGTGTAATTGTATGCAGAGTGTTTACAGATGAGAAGCTGAAAAGAGCCGTCAGGTGCTAAAAAAAAGAAACCTTAGAACAGGCTTTTCCCCGCAGCACATAATAAATACTTCATGCTGCGGGGAAAACACTGGACTCCAGCTACACGACGCCCAGATGAAAACACTTCACGCAAGTCGAGCTGCCTGAGATTCACAGAATTTACAGAATTTACGTCTTTTATCGGGATATGAGATTTTGGTCATATCGCACAGCCTGTATGTTTGTTTTCTCCCCAACAAACACAACAATGTCGATGAAATGTTTTGCACCGACAAAGGCACCTGCGGTAGCACCCAAAAGGGAGGGGAAGATGCCATCGCACAAAAAGTTGGACTAAAGGAAGGTAGCAATTACCATATTTTTCAGATTATAATTAAGCAAAACAAAACAGTCAGATAAGTCAAACTTTACTCAACTCGTTCTTCTTGCTTCCTCTACTTCCGTACCATTGATTCATTAATGTTGAATTCTCTCACAGCTGCTCTATTACGATGTTCTGGACCTGAAAACAAGGTTTGATCTTTGGTTTCATTCTATAATACTGGACTTCTTTTTCTACGAAGGTTTGAAATTTGAGAGTTTCAACAAGAGAGAAAAGTGTGAAAATGTTCACGTCTGTCTCTGGAAAGTGTATAAAGTGTGTAGTGAGGAGTTTTACAGCCGTAAAACATCGATAATAATTGTAAAAAAATAAATAAAAAGCTGGCTACTTCACGGATTTCACCTGTCGCCAGTTATTTTTGGAACGTAACCGCAATAAACGAGGGACCGCTGTAAACATACACTGTGCTTCTGATTGCCCCAGAAGCACCAAACAGGCTCTGCTGGAAACATGTGGCCGTGCTGAATCCAACAATCTATATGTGACTTTAAGGTATAGTCAGTGTTTCACATTACAGAGTGTGTGATGTGGTCCGAGTAACATACACGGGTGCAAAAAGGTTGCATTTATCAAACGAGCCACGCCCTGACATTTAAAGGAACAGTGTGTAAAATCTAGATATCAGCAGATCACAGAGTGCAGTCAGCTGAGTTCTGTTTTCACCATCTCCTGGTTCATGTGGAAAGTCATAGCTATGGATTTAGACTTAGACATCGTACTGTTGCTTGCACAATGAAATTAGGTAGCAAGACCACAAAGATGCAAAAGTAAAGAAAATAATATACAAGTAAGAAAAGTAAGAACACTATGTACAGTATATACACGATGTTGGGTTACAGGAAGCATGGGGTGTGTTCCAGGCATCATAATGAAATATAATAAATAATAAATAAGGGCAGAATGGCTGTGGTCGTTAAGGATATGTTGAGGGATGGAAATTGCACATCTGCCGAAATATTGCACAGAACAAAATGTTGCACGAAAGAAAGACAAAGAAACATAATAAATAGCAAATAGCAGCAACAGAATGATTGTATGATTGAATGGTGGAGATCAGCTCACACTCTTAATTTGCATTCAGCTATGGATCGTCCGCTGTAGGACAAACTTGTGGTCAGCTGTCCAGAAGGATCGCATGTCTAATCTGTTGACATTAAGTACAATATAAGAAATAAATAATGTTTATGCACATTTCTGTGCATTAGAGCCCTGACTTTGCTCAGGAAGAGGCTGACATTTTATCCAGATGCCGGTTACTGCTGGATGATAAAACATAGTAGTTATGACGAGTGATGGGAATAATGGCGTTACTTTTTTCAGTAACGAGTAATCTAATTATTATTCCTATCGTTACAAGGCCGTTACCGTTACTAACAAGAAAATGTGGTCGCATTACTATTTTTTAACAAACAGACGGTTGAAGCTGTGTTCAGCTTACCGCATCTTATATCAGCTGCACGGAAGTAGCTGTAAGTAATCTGGGTGCTGCAGCTTTAAGCAGCTGCGCGCAGACGGCAATCACTTTCTGACAGATGATCACTTTTTGGTACAACACCTGGAGCTCAGGGGTTAAACAATCACATGACCACTTTAAGATGACAAAGCAACAAGGTGATATATATACCAGTGTTTTAATTGTGTTGATCGGCCACGTAACACCAGAGTCATGATAAACAATATACACGTCTGTTTTTCCTCAATAGTTTCGTCACGTTTAACATCGAAGGACAACGCTAACAAGCACTCTGTGCTTATGAGCAAAAAAGAAACAAAACAAAAACATCCTGACATTTAGTTGTTTAGGAAGAGGGGCAAGTTTCAGGAGTGACGGCGAGAGAGAGAGACAGACATTCTTTAAAGTAACGCTTTAAATGGTTACTTTTCCTAGTAATTAATTACTTTTAGAATCTCGTAACTCAGTAACTTTTTTCAAGAAGTAACCATACTTAACTACCTTTTCAAAGTAACTTGCCCAACACCGGTTATGACCCTTCACATCTTGAGTCTGATGGTGCACAAATTCTTCGCCTCCTCGACACGTGAATGCCTTTAAGTCCTCTTCTCTGCCTTTGTTGTACTGATTCTGCTCTTTAGCCACACACATAAAACTTGATTAAGGACAATCAGTTCAGCTTGTATTCAAATGACCGGGCAACATGGCGGCTTCCACAAACCAGCGCCTGCTGTAATGTATTATGGATTTATTTTAACTATCAGAATGCAGTTTGTTGGAAGCTGTAATGATGTATACACTGACTGACTACAATATCGTTTCTATTAAAGCCCCCAAACAAGATGGTTTAGTCAGCTCATGTCTCATTATTAAAAAAAATAAAGATTTTGCTTTATGTGCAATAAAAATACAAGTTTACCAATTTGGAGTTTGGATGTGATAATGGACGTGTCTGATTTGGAACATGTGTTTCACCGACAGGCTTAAACTAATCTCAATATTTGACAGCAGCTTGACATGAAAAGCTTCTCATTAAAAGAAAATATATTTGGCAGCTAAAAGAAAAGAAGGGGATGCAGTGCAGCTTGTTGGAGGAACGCGCGATAATAGTGTTCTGCTAAATTTGCTGGTGATCATATCTATAATATTGATTTCTATATGTGCCGACATAAAGCAAATCTCAATAAATTTACTTTTTCAGCTTTCTTGCAATTTCCACAATCTCTACAAATAAAACCAGTGGAGACAAATAAAACCAGTGGAGACAAATAAAACCAGTGGAGACAAATAAAACCAGTGGGTGTGACTAATAAAGCCCAGAGGGAAAGAAACTCCATGTGACTGTTGCTACATATGGCAAAATGCTTCACAATGAAAGCACTATGAAGAAAAGAACTGAGACATAATAATCACTTATTTATAAACAGTTACATGACTGTAGCATCAAAGAGGGACGTGTGGGACAAGCTATGGATTCTTGTTGGTCCATGTTTATTTCGTTTGTTTACAAACTTTGGCCCTTCTAACGTTCAGCTGGAGCTCCTCCTCACCGTCGTTTTGTTACACTTTTGTTAATTTAGTTTAGTTTTATTTAATTAATACATGCTTTGGGTCTCTGTACTCCAACATCCTCGCCACACAGCAGTGGCTTCAGTTTGCTGTGTCTTTAGTTTCTTCTTCATCAGGCCTGAAGTGAGTCTCTGTGAATTTATCTCGTGAAGCAGTAAAAGCATGTGCTGCGTGTGTGTGTGTGTGAGTGTGTGTGAGTGTGCAGCTGCACGTGCAGGAGGAACAGCGAGTACAGCAGGCAGCGTGACAGTGCTCAGCCGTCCCTTTTACTGCTCCTAAAATTCTGCTAAATTCATGGCATTCCTTCTCTTTACCTGCTGAGACAACAGCCTGTCTGAATCATTTGTTCAGCTTCTGTTTTTCACTTCTTACCTCAAATTATTTGAACTGGTAGCTAAAAAAAA